ACAAGTGAATGATTGCAATACTGAATCGTTTTAGAAGCAAGAAATGTTTGGTTTGGGAGGTTATACGAGAGAGATTCGCTTATCGTCCAGTCAGCAGTATATCGCAGATAACTTACGTTCGAAACCTCGGCTAGGATTGGTTGATGATGGGGAAATGAGAACAACAGAGGTACTACTTCATCACATTTTTAATTTATGCTGAATGATTATCAACACACTAATCCAATTCCTTACCTTGAACTTTTTAAGCTAGCAAAAAACTTTCTTCAGTACTTTACCTACACCCAGAATACAACTATTGATGTTAGTCTTCAAGTGTGCATAAGAAGTTCAATCTTTCACGAGCTGCTCAAAAGGACGGCATGCGTCGACAATCAACACTTTATATTGGCGCTGCGATTAAGACAGATGAGACTAAACAGTTGAGACACTTCTTCAGAAAGAAATTTTTCTGGAAACAAACTAGGCGTTAAAAAACTTATAAAGTCAAGAGGCTGGGTCTGAGAAGGGTATTCTATAATGAGTGGGAGGCAAGGGACACATACGAGATAGCTTCACAAAACAGCTTCATAAAACCGAGGAGGTAGCTCCAAGTCTAATACCCAAAAATTTTATCGTCATAAATTTGATCAATAAACCATATTTAATTGAGGCTAAGGCTCTTGTAAGCACTTCGCGGTAACGGTTAGCATTGCTTAGCATTGATAGCGACAGCAATAGTTAGCGATTTAGGAAATTTGGGAACGTTTAAGGAACATTGTTCACCCAAACAAGTACTGGGTAGTTGTTTATGTCATCGATCCATACGAAATGTGTCTTTACATAATTGTATGCACCATTTACTATATCTTACTTTCTTGTATGTTTCGGTTTTCAGGGTACTGGAGCTCTATCGACATCAAGTGACCTGCCGTTTGATTATCCTCCAGGCTGCTCGACTACTGAATGTACGCTTTTGCTTTTTGTTAATAGATTATAATCAAATCGCTGTGCTCTTGGGGTTAAGAGAACACGACAGACTTACGCGTCTCTTGAAAGAAATTTGTGGTGAAAGTAAATCACAGCTTACCATCCATAATCGCATTCATTCAAACTTTCCATTTCATAGATAAACAGCGCGATCATATTTTCGTAAATTCGCCATACAATCACTATCGCATTCTTAATTAAAACTGCGTCTATCACCTATATTTAGTATTTTGTGCATAGAGAACAATGCATTAATCTATCGAAAAACATAGACTTTGGGAAATAAAACAAACTTATGTATAGTTGTTCGTTCGGACAATTTCATCAGAAACGAATATTCGCTAGTCATTCTCTCGATTTTTTTGGTGAACAATGGTTTAATGCTTCTTTTGAAGATTATAGAAAAATTAGAAAGAAAACGTCCTTGTCATTTGAGAGCTGTGTATTTGCGTCTCTTTCGACCTAATGAAGACAGTCATTCAGCGGCCTGTTGGATTAGAAAGTGTGGAGTTTAAAGTGAGCTTGCAATTATTCTTATTCCTGAAATAGTAGGATTTTCGCTTGTAAACCGAGGAGACATTTGGTGGTTAAGCTAGCGCTATTATCAGTATGGCTTGGAAAAACTATTTCTATCCATATATAGTTTGGCTGCGGGGTTTAATCAGTGCCCTAAATGATAGCGGCCTAATGATCCAATAAGTCACCATCTTTAGAGGCCTCTAAATGTTAAATACCATCGGCGTACAGAATTTACAGACGTTTATAAGGCCGCCATCAATGAAGAGATAGGTGAAGCTTGCCAGTTGATATCAAACGAAGTAATCGCTATATTTATAAACCATATAGAGGTTTCAAAAAAGTTCATTTTTCCACCACTAATGTTCTTGAATATCTTTACATAAGACTTTTATAATATAGATGATAAAATCATGAGAATGCGAGTGGTAAAAGTATTCCAAAAGACTAACTCCTGGAAGTATATAGCTAAAAATAATAGACCTTTTTGATTAAGGGATTTTTTTACCTCTATAGATTTTTATTGTAACAATATTTTCTTATTAATTTTCTAAGCATTGTGTCTCGTGCCTGAAGTTTGATGGAAACCTCAACACGAGTTATAGCGCTAACTGAGAAACTGTAACGTTCAAAAATACAAGATTAAGCATCAATATGCCAAAACCTTAGTGTAGCAGACATTATGAATTGCAGATTATTTTTTTTTAAATCACGGCATGC